AATTAATTTAGTTTAGTTAAGTAAAAGTACGTACGAGTAGTTAGTTTAACGTTAGACGACGACACAGAGTAGTACTACTATACTACTACTACTCCTCTCTCTCTCTCTCTCTCTCTCTCTCTCTCTCTAAGTTTTCGAATATATTACTCAAATCCCTCCCTCTCTCTCCCTTCCCTTTGCATCAGGAACAAGCCTATTAAAATCACTCCCCCTCTCTCTCTCTCTCTCTCTCTCTAAAAGCTACATCGTTAATAGTTAAATTATAAATTCTTTCCCTCTCGTAAACACAAGGAACAGTTTGGAAGACCACCACCAATGATATTGTTAAAATTTAAAATGATCCCGGTAAAATTTTAAAGATATTGTTAATCTTATAGGTATGTTTTGTAAAATTTCCTATTACTTATCTCTCCCTTTTGTCTTCGACATGTTTTTTAACAAGAAATGAAATCTCTTTCATATTTCTACACATGGACATGCATGTCTAGAGTTTATTTGACAAGTTTTGACATTTAAAGGATGCGATATCTATATCTAACGCTCTAGAAACCAACATGCATTTTCTTGAATTTTTTTGTTTAAATCTCATAATAAAAGTAAAGAGTGCACCTAAAATTACAGAACCCGCTCTTCTAAATGGTTTATAACTTTATAATGTGCCTACCTGAAAGTAAGTTTTAAATTTGGCGTTATATGCACTAATGCTTATATTTGTCGCTAACGTCCATAACTGTGTTACATATATCAAGTGTGCATTAATGCTTATATTTGTTATCAAGTGTTTCGAAAAGTGAATTGGTAGAGCGAACCAGCATTATAAATATCTAATTTGAATCAAATAATAACTAGCAATCCGGATCGATGACGAACCGATTATCTCGTGGGAGAATCTATCAAAAAAACTTAAATAATAATTTTAATTAAAAATAAAAATTAAAAAGACATAGGAAAGAACCAGAAGATTTGCCCAATCCCAATCGTCCAAATCCCCTATTGCTGCCCAATTGTTTGACAAATGGGTGGCCAGCCTATCAAATCTGACCTACTCCCAAGTCCAACTAAGAATCAAGTGAGTTCTTCTCGATTCTTGATCTGGATCGGCATATTTTGAGTTATGGCATTGAGTACCTCTCCCTGTTTGGGAGGGGCAATTGGGTCATTTGCATTGAGACCCTTTCTGTCTTTCTAATGAAAGACATGGGGTAACCCATAATCTTCTCAATAAAACAAACCCAAAAAGTTAAGAACAAAATAAATCCAATAAAAGGCAATAAGTGTCGAGCATATCGGGCTGTAAAAGCAAGAAAAACGGCCGCGGTTTGGCCGTTTCCTTTTATTCTTGGAAATTAACAGCCGGCACTCAAAAATCTCTCTCTCTAAACTATTTTTGAAGCTCTCTCCCTCTCTCTTTCCTTCCCTTCTTACAATCTTAGTTCTTTTTGGTTTTGGTTCTCTTTCTCTCTCTAAGCTGTGCCATTTAAAGTTTTAGCATGTATAGCATGCTCTCAAGGGAGCATACTATTATTATACTAACTCACTTCGAGCAAGAAGCTACTTAGGAAATTGTTTTTCATCTCAAAATTTATGATCTGCCACAGAATTGCTTAAAAATTGTAGTTTGTATAGGGTTGCAACTTTAAACCATCAAATTAAGTCGCATCTATAATTTGATTATAAATATAAATTTAATGCTCTTATAATTATTATGATTTATTCTCTTATCAATAAAAGTTCATAAAATTGTAAAAAAGAAGAAGAGCGTTGTCAAAAGATTCTTAGGATGACTTGAGAATCTATTTTTATATTTTATTATAAATTTTTAAACTTAAAAAATGGTTCAAATCAATTATCTATGAACGTTTAAAAATCTTGAAAATAGATGATCTAGATAATGTGTTGCAAGGTGTGTTATTTTTAGGATTAAAAATCTTTTTTCATTTTTGGATTCATATATCTCGATGTTGAGACGATCAATTATAGAGTTTTTCAATACCAAATTTTTGAGATACACCTGAATTTTATATTTTAAGGTTGCAACTTTATATAAATTTTTCCTTACTTGTATTAATGTTTTTTTGGATTTAGAATAGTTTTAGAGATCCTGCCCTCCAAAAATAAAGAATTGAAGGGCCCTTGATTGACCTTGAGACATTATTTTTTTAAACACATAGAATGTTTTTACTTCTTGATGTTCTAGATATAGATCTCTAAAAATACTAAAATATTGGTGCTTTAGTATTACCTGAGGGAGCAAACAGACACGAGGAGCAAATAGACAGCATACGCCTGCAGGAGCAGCAAATATTTTCACTTCAAATTTAGCCACCTCTCTCGGACGATCCTCCTTCCGGTTTGTAGTTCTTGTATTATCTTCAGTGTTAAATTTAGTTTGGGACAAGCTTCCACACGTGCCACCCACTTGGCTCAGTCACGTGTGACGTGTTGCCTTTTCAATACCTCACATATCAAGCTTTAATTTTAGCATGAACCGGTTTTTATGGGCAGCACGGGTAATCCGATTATGTTTTAACGGATTGGGAAGCTGTTTTAACCCGCAACCGACTTTCGGGTTTTTATTTGGTGTTTAGCTGTTAAGATTTTTTTTATTTTTTTCCTTTCCCTCTCTCTTTCTACTCTAAATTCTTAAAAAAGGAAATTTATGAAACTACATGTGAATGATTATCCGTTAGACATTTTATCTATATCTTTTAATTTAAATGTAGCATCAATAAACGATAAGATAAAAAAAGATAAATTTAGATGAACTGGCCATATATAGAGTAGACCTATTATAGCATCTATTAGAAAGTGCGAATTAGTTCAAGTGTAAAACTAAAAAAAAACAAAGAAATAAGCTCAAAAAGACGAGAAAAACGATATAGAGATTTATGGTTTCGTTGAAGCTAATAACCTTTAATAAAGCATAACGGTAGACCAAAATTCATGTAGCTTAATTATCTCATGAAAAACAGTATCACTCGTTCCTTAGAGAGAAAATATAGAAAATAGTGAACAATAATTAATTATATTTTTTATGCCTTTTTTGTTCCTTTTTATTCCTTCTCTTTGGATTGAATTCAACGTCGAGGTCCAATTCAACTTCAAACCCATTCTATTCGGTGCATATCTCTCTCTCATGAGAGTTCATTGGTATTTTCACAGAAAGAAGGGCCTCAATAAGTTTGCCCTTGCTATCTCTTTACTTCCTACACAAAATGAGATGAGATTTAAAGGTTCAACGCGTAAAAAGGCATTGTGATTACGCATACATGGTCCAAAGCAATAGAAGTCCTGATATTTTCCAACACTAAAGTTCTCTCTTTTCAATTTGGGATTCTCTCTCTTAGAAAGCTTGCTATATTAAATTGTACTTTCTCTCTCTTATTGCTTTGGTTATTAGATATGGTTTCCTTGAAACTTTCCAGGCGACATGGGACACAGGACAAAGGCTAGCAGTCAATCATTTAAGGAAGAAGTTTATACAAGGGTGAGGCCCAATAAGAGGTTGTTTCGATGCTAAAAAACCTTCAATTCGATCATTTTAACTTCAATATTTATGAACATTAGAAGAAATAGATTTCAAGTCTTGGAAATAGTGCATCATGTAATGTACTATCTAGATCGGCAATTTTCAAGTTTTTCAAGTGTTCATAGATCTACTACTCTATTTGCAATATTTTTTAATATTTAAATTTTATAATTAGATATGAAATACACTTTTGTTTAGTCATTATAAAGATTTTTTATACTAAAAACAACATATTTCAGCATTATTTGAAGGTGCGCCTTACTTTGCATGTTTAGGGCCTCAGCCTTATGCAAACAACACCCATAATCTAATGAACTTTATAAATATCAAGAAAGTGATAAATTTCTATTGGAAATTGGGAACTATCCTTTGACTTTTAGTGGGTCCAGATCATTGGGTGTAAAACGCTGCGTTTCTAACTAATTTTTATGATCTACCTTTGCGCATTACCTACGTGATTAATGGAACTTGGAAATAAATCAGCGAGACTTATGAATCGCAAAGGTTAGCATGAAAGGAGATTGTTTATAACAATATACTAAAAACTGACCCAGATCAAGAATTGCCGAATAAAAATTGTGGATCCGGATAGGGTTATATAGGGGCTGACCTAGTTCTTTTACATTTGTAATGCAATATAGAAAACTCTATATCGATGTTCTCACCAGTTGAGATTAAAAAAAATTGGTGCTAGATTCATCTCGAAACCATCAATCAATCATCATCATCCAAGTTGTAACCAAACTAAATTGGTGCTAGATTCATCTCGAAACCATCAATCAATCATCATCATCCAAGTTGTAACCAAACTATTTGGGATCAACCCAGTGATTCAAAAAGCGGATCGCCCAGCACTT